CTCAAATAACCCAAGGGCACAAAACTTGTTAGCTCTAAGTTACCACACTTGCCCATAAATATCTGAGGGAAGAGCTATCTAGGTTGAATTCCCACAGAAAGAATATGTTACTTTTTGCATCAATAACAGTTGTGGATGACAACTGTCAATGGTCTATAGCCTTTTATTTAAAACTCAACTAGAAAAAGAAGTCACCATCAACTTCTAATGTGTTAATTAAAACAAAAAATGCTATATTATATATTAATATACATTACATTAATTCTCTCATAACTTCTTGGTGGTTATTTTTGATTTTAAAACAGATCTGTAACAACAAAATAAAGATTTCTGACAACAAAAATAAACTACAAAATTTGCAACTCCCAAATCTGTGTACGATTTTTTTTCCTTCTGTTTCTTTCCCTCTTTTCCAGGGTCTTCTCCATTAGCAAGGCATGCAGTGCACCAGTGTAGGAGAGCACAGAATTCAGACATTTTTTAAAGCAAATAAATGGCACCAGAGTCACAAAATACATTATACATGTATTAAGCTGATTGATGTATTGATTGCACTAAGTATTGTATTAAATATATATATCAGGAATATCAGGCACATATCAGAACGTGATCTTAGTATTTACAATAGTCTATGTTTGCCACTTAATAATACTACAAAAAAAAAAGTATCTTCCTTCTATACTCACTTCTCCATGCTGAAAGTATATATGCACATACTAAATAATAAGAACCAATGTCTCTTAATAAAAGAGATACCAAATAATGACTGGGCCATGATTTTCCATCTTGCTATGCAGACACCCCTACAGCATCTAGGAGCCAGGCTGACCTAGGATTTTCACAGGGATACATATGAACCAATGAGTCAACAGTAACTATCACTGCATTAATCTTTATTTTTATTTATAAAACAACTGACTTGTTTACTCAGTACTTTGTGGAATAACTCATTTAAATTCTTCTGCTATATTTTCCAAGCATTAATATTTTAAAGAAAAACAATTGCAAAGGTTTGGAAATCCTGCAAACCCACAAACACTGTTTCATATCTTGACATATTTTATCATTATTCCTCAAAGTTCAGAATGAACCATAGTTTATATCAAAATCTATAACTGATGTAACAGAAGTAATACACAAATACATTTTCAAGAATAATCTTAAAATTATGCAATTAGGAAAGACAGAATGACAGCCAAATAGACCACAGGAATACAGTCTTTCTGACACAACATACACAAAGTAATGATAAGTAATGAGATTATAAACTGAAGCTTCAACTACTACAGCAACGTTCATATCCTGCTTCATGACTGTGAACTTACACCATAAAATACATTTTAAAAGCCTGATTACTACCTCTTTTAGAATTAATAGTATTTAAACCTGTAAAATTAAACCACACAAACTTGTCAGTTTCATATGGAATGATGCAGACAATTAATTAATCTCAGTTACAACAGCAAAAATATTCTCAAATTCCTTTATTAAAGAAATAATAATATAATATAAATAACAGAGAATAATATATTAAAAAAAGAAGAGGCAGACCATCCCATACTTGAGCATGGGCACTTGAGAGTTTCAGAAGATTGAGAGATTATGCAACTTTATGGATAGCAAACATTTTAAAATCAGCATAAAACAGTTCCTGTTTATCAAAATTCTTATTGAGACAAATGCCCCAAGTCTAATGTATTAAATCCCTTCTATCATACCATTAAGTAAAAATCACAGTATTTTAATAGGATAGTTTACTAATACCAATATTTGCTAAGTGCTTGCAAATAAACTTTAAAAAAAAAAGTCTTAAAAATTAGGATTTGAACATGTTTTCCAAAATTCAAGGGTTTACTCACCGAGACAGTGTTGATTTCCCCGAACCAGGGAGACCTCTTAAAATCAGGAGCAACTTCTGTGAACTACATAGCTTTTCCTCAGGTGGCTGCAGGAAAGGAAAGCAGGGCATTCCATCTGCATGGTAATTTTTAGGATCTTTCCAACACTCTTCTCTGGTTTCACAGAAACCACTATTTTGGGGTACATTCTTGTCAGTATTTCCATTTTTGGATTCCTGAGCACTATGGATATCAATATGACCAACACAGCCAGCCCCTTGATCAGGTAATGGACCAGGCCAATTGATATCATTATTTCCATGGTAACCATGATAATTTTTGTAAGAAAGTTCTTCATTACGAGAAGGAAAAGCATTTGTTTTTTGTGGTGGGGAATTAAATATTTGAAAGTGTGACTGATGATTGAATCTAGGAGGCAGAGGAGGGAGAGGTCCCTGAGGTACTATGAAAGACTCTTTTGACTGCCAGGAAGGTCTGAATTCAGGCACTGAGCTGTTCCAAAACTTCAAATCTACTTGTCCATTAAAGCCATTTTCAGTTTTCCAGCCACTTGTTTCCCTGTCAAGCTGCTGCTCGGCATTTGCTTCCTGATCCTTCTGTTCCTCAGAGAAACGGTGTCCCATCTCATAAAAACGTTGTGGGCTGCCCAGTAATGTCCGCTGAGAATCCTCATGTGCTGTTTGACTGAACTTAAATGGAGAGCATGGTTCCAGAGAAGATTTAGTTTCTTCTTCCTGAAAATTACCTTCCAAATTGTCCTTTTCAAGCTGGTGAATTTCTTTATAAAACTGGCACAGCTCATCATCCATTAGAGCAGCAGAGGCAGTCTGTGTTCTCTTTGCTTTCCTTTGCACTTTGTTTTCATGCGCTTCATTCTCATCTCTCCCATTACTTTCAATGCAACTCTGAGGTTTGTCCTGTTTGTTACTTTCAGTGGGCTTGTAAATCGGTCCAATAAATTCTTTGCTTGTAAAAAACTCTTCATTTGATTCATTTCTACTTACTGAGAACAATTTAATGCTATTTTTATTACTTTCATCAACACCAGTAATAGAGGGGCCTTGCTTATCTTCAACTTTAACACCATCTCCTTGTACAAAGGGATGATTTGTATTCTGCCTGATCTCAGGATCCGCTGGCTGACTAAGCACTAGGTTTTTCTCAGGAAACACTTCATTCAGAGTTGCTGAGACACCTGTAGGTATTTTCTCTTCCTTCTGCATTTCATGCTCTGCTTGGCTGTCCGAGATACACCACAGTGCCAATTCATCAGATGTTCTTTCAGCATCCACCTTCTGTTGGAAACTTTGGTAATCATCATTACAGAGTTTCTCATAAGCCTCTTCTGTTGACTTCATTTTTTTAGAACGTGGCTCAATTGTGATTTCATCCTGACACTCCAACAGTCTTATTCTACATTCGGCATGAAGCATCTTATAAGAAGAAAAATTTAAAAATTATTAGCGCACACATCTTTAAGGAAAGGTGAAAAAACATGACATTCAGGCCTACAATATCCTCAGACTGTCTACTGCCACAAGTGGAACATAGCCAAAAATAGACTCTGACATTACCTATGGTCATTTTTCATGTAAACTTGCATATGTTGTATATACAATATTACACCACGGAAGCACATTACTGCTGTAGTTGGCTGCTAATTGCATTTTATGGTACATCTGAAGTAATTTACAAATTATACCAAAAAGGTGTTGGTTTGCATTTATAATTTGGTATACTAAAATACAACTTAAAATTAAACACATAATCTGTTATTAGGTATCCTTATCGGGAGGACAAGTAAGGACCATTGTCAGGGATAAAGATCTATACACGTTTTACGAAAATACACACTAAAAGGCAATCCCCACCCCAAACAGTTTATGATTTGAGACTGAGCCAAAAAGCAGTCAAAATATGCAGACAGCCAAGCTGAGAAATAAAAAATAAATTGCAACATAGAGCTGCTGGTTGTAATAGGACAAGCAGTCAAACCATAATTCCAGTATTATTCATCTAAGTAATGGTTAGAATTAGTTGGATTTTCTTGGCATTACAGGGGTCTAAAGAGATGGCACTAAGTAATAGTCACTATGTTTAAACGGCCAAGTCATTTATTCAGCAAAAAGAAAACCAAAACAAATGTAGGGCAAAACCAGGAAGAGACTATTCTTCCCTGTAGAGGGTTTATTCTGCAGTTTTCTGCAAACTGGGAAATGTTACTATTTGCTGCTAGGAAGCTGAAAATTACCACACGATCCTCATTCTGTACAAAAAAATCAAGTCTCTTCTTTAACTGAAAATGATTTGTAGACATTGTTTATTATCTCATCTTTTCCTGCAAAACGAACGAAGTGGGAGGCAGAGAGGGAAGGAGGAAAAGACAGGGAGGGAGCTAGGAGTACTATGGTATCTCCTCCTATCAGGATATAAGTGTTGTTTTGTGCGTACCTCCAGCTTCCCAGTTCCTCCTTTCTGCAAATGAGGACGCGAGTGTGACATTTTATATATTAAGGACTCTAACTCACAGCTCCCCAGAAACATTATTCCACCTACACTCAAAACCAGGAGGATAAAAGACGAGATGCTTTATCAGTTTCTATCCTTATCTTCCTCCTGGAAAGGAGTTTGAGAGAAGCAACGTTTTCATGTACAATGAGAGGAAAAAAAAAAAGAGCATGTAAGCATGTTGCATGAAAATTAACCAAGAAAGAATACTGCTCCGATTGCCACACACACCAAAATCATTTCTAGTTCCTCTGAAAGAGATTTTCTCTAAATATTTTTTGGGACATAGAGAAGCACCTCCAGTCATAGAGAAGTCAGAAAGGGGAGTTCCCCTCCCACCTGTCAGATAAATCAAGTGCAAACTGAGGAAGCACAACCTGCAGAGGACCCTCTCGCCGCTGGGATGGGATAAACGTAGGGCTGCCGTATTTCGGTACAGAATTGCCTGTGAACATCGACCTGCATAAGATTCGCATGCCTGAGGCCTGCAATACCAAGTTACCCCCTTAACTAGGCTGACAAGTAACTAAGGCAAGTTGGCTCATAATGCTAAGCTCTACCTAGACGAAAAAAAAAAAGCATCCACCAGAAGAAGGGGACCTCAGCGCCTGACTGAATGCAAGAAGGGCAGAGCAGCTCCCTCCGGGCAGGCAAGCGGCGAAGCGCGGGCCAGGGCCCCGGGCCGGAGCCGCCCCGCCGGGACGCAAGCCCCGAGCGGA